CTGTAAAACTTCTATTTACTCTTTACCCAAACGCTGCATTTTACCCCATTTGTTTCATCACCTACTCTGTTTGAACAGTGACTCTCCACACCTACAATATGTTCAGGACAGGATGGTTGACAATATTGGAGTAGTGCTGGTGACACTGAGGACAGGTCACACTATGCCCACCACGGGCTCAGTGACCCAGCCTGCTGTGGCCTGTGCTTTACAGACGAGGAGAGAGGCCTTGAGAAGACAGAGCGATTCACAACACTCACAGGGCAAAGCAGGAGAGGAAACTTAGACTTCGGAGCCCTTAGCCTGGGGTTCTTGCTTCTTGGCAGTTTATTACAGGCTGGTGGTCTTTTGTTTTTTGTTTTCTTTTAACCCTGTGTGTGTGGTATGACCATGTGTGCGTGTGTGCGTGAATTAGTAAATCTGTCCCATGTTCCTATACATACAGAAAAGTGCACTGAACATATGTGGACAGTTTATGGAGAACCATAAACCAACATGCTAGCTCCACTCTGTTTCACGATAAGATGCTCAGCGCAGGCGTTCTCAGCAGGGGGAAGACTCTGCCCCCAGACTAGGGGGCGTTTGGTACTGTCTGGAGACATTTTTGTTGTCATGGTGGTGGGGTGGGGGAAATACAGCTGGCCTCTAGCAGGTGGGGACTATCCTGCAGAGCGCAGGGAGCCCCAATTTCAAGGGTGCTAAGGAGAAGCAGGCAGAGGGGGTATGCGGGTCCCCAGCTCCTGGGATGCTGTTGCACAGGCAGTGGCTGTGGGATGGGGGCAGGAGTTCCTGCAGGGATTGGCATCAGTCCAGTCAGGTCCGGGGGTTTGGTGCCAGGTGGTGGATGACCCTGGCATTAGGAAGGCCCAGCGAAGTCATCTGGGCAGGAGCTCTGTGTGGGGAGTGTGGGCGTATCCATTTAGCCATTCAATGAATGTTCACTGAACTCCTACTATGTGCCAGGTGCATAGTAGGTAAGAAAGAAAAAAACAAAAACCATCATTGCACAATCCCTGCTTGTAGAGTCCTTGTCATCTTGGGAGAGTCACGCCTTGTCACAAAGAAATCTCACTTCCACATCGGCTTACATGGGTCCCGTCAAGCAGAGGTACACGGGGCCATGAACGTCTGCTCTAGGGGAACAAGCTGGTCCCCAGAGCTGGGAATGCTTCTGAGAGCTGAGATGTGAGGAAGCCTTAACAAGCATACTTAGCAAAGAAGACAGGGCAGAGCCTCAGTGAGAGGGAACAGCACATGCAAAGGCCTTGTGGCAAAGTGTGCCCAGGGCACACCATGGGAAGGCCAGTGTGCGGCAGTGGGGGAGGCAGGAGGGTGTGTGGAGGCACAGGCCCCTGCAGGTCTGGGCTTGGGGACGGTCAGGGAGAGGCCATCCGTCAGGGGGCCTGGCCCTGGCTTCTCATTAGAACCAGATGGGAGATTCTGGAAACAGCCAGCTCTGATGTCATTCATCCCAGTTCTGATTTATTTGGTCTGGGCTAGACCTGGGTGTGGGTGTGGTTGAAACCGCCTGCCGAGGTGGACGCTAAAGAATGAGCAGCCAGGTTGAGAAGGGGTGGGCTATTGTCCTGCTTGTGCTGACAGGGCCATAGTCGGGCTTCCTGCCTGAGAGGTGGGACACGGGGCGTGACTGGGGGTTTCCCAATCAAATTCGCTTTTGGGGGAGAAACAAAAACAAGTGGCCACATTGAAAACCTTACTTTCGGGATCCTGGTCTTATGGGAAAAAAATAAGAGAAGCCCAGCAAAGGTTTAGCCCAGCAGCTAGAGGGGCGCTCAGTCGGCTAGCAAGGTGTCGGTCTCAGCTGGGGAGAAGTGGGTGGAGGGCCAGGCCAGCCTTCAGCCCTGACCTTTCTGCTGTGCACTGTGGCTTCATGGAGTCCTACTGTTTGAAAGGGGACCCCTCTCCCCACAGCAATGCCAAACGGCAAAAGGAAGCATGGGAGGGATTCCTGGGGTTCTGGCCCCGGGCCTGTCCCTCTGGTCAGCGGGGAGAAGGTGGGCAGGCTCCTTGGAGTCAGAGAGAGAAGCTGGGAGTCCCCTGACTGAGAGGGCATCATTGAGTGCTCAGGGGACAGACGGACAGTGAGTGGAGGGCGGTACAGGCGGCGGGTGAGCTGAGGTCAGGGTCTGTCTCTCCAGGAACAGGCGGCCCAGACGACATCTGTTTCCATTCACAGCCTGGAGCAGGGCAGGGTGGGGCTGTTCGGAAGGCCCATTGTCAACTTGAGGGCCTTCTCCATTCCATCTACACCCTCCACTTAGTCCTCTGGCTTCCTGGCTCAGAGAGTATGAAGGCTTGCCTGAGGTCACACAGCAGTATTTGGGCCCAGGGCCGTCTGCAGGCACCCTGACTAGGGCCCAAGAGACTTCTAGGGCTCAGGAAAGTGCCATAACTTCTCTCAAAATCAGAAGGAAAAAAAAGAATATGTTTCAGCTTGGATTGTATTTGTGTGTCCATAGATGCAGCTGTAATAGAACACTGTTAAATTTTTTTCTTACTAGAGGAAGGGGTCCCAGAAGGCAAATCACCAAGAGCTCCCCTCCTTCTCACGGCCCACAGTGTGCTCTCTGTCCCCGATGTCTGCATCCAGTGCCCATTCTTGTGCCAGCCTCAGCCTTTAGTCCTTAGCTGCACAGCCACGTCCTCAGGGGACCTCCATGGGCTCCTCTGACCAGGTCAGTCTCCCGGAGGCCTTGCTGCAGCTCAGCTCTCCTGTGAATATGTGGTGCGGCGGTTCTGAACACAGACTCTGACAGTGAATGTCTGGGTTGGAATCCCAGCTCCACCGATTATCAGTGAGGTTTGGCTGAGCAAGGTGTTCATCTCTCTGACCCTCAGTTTCCCTGTCTGTAAAATGGGGTAGTGAGAGTACCCATCTAACAGGGTTTTGATAGATTAAGCGAGTGAATATTTTTAAACTACTCCATCGTTAATCTCTCTGAGACTCAATTTCTTTATCTTTAAAGAATGATCACAGTACCTACCTTAAAGAGTTACAATAGACTAAATGAATGAAAGTTTTAAAGCACTGGAAACCATGCCAGACACTGAAAAGTGCCATCTTAGTGTTTATTAAAATCACTATTTGATTAATATCTGATTCATCTACCTGGTGGTAAGCCCCATAAGGGCAGGGGCTGGGCCTGGGTTTACTCTTCTTGTTACCCCAGGCCTGGCACATAGTAGGTACTCAAATGTTTGGATGAATGAGTGAATGCACACTTCTCCTCCTTATTATGCCAGTATGTTTCTCTCTGCTGGAAGTCATTCACATTTTAGTATGAAGCATGGATTAATGCTACCCTGTCCCCCTGCCTGGAGCATTTATTTGCCTGACCTGATTACTATGAAAGAAAGTATTCTGTCTCTGGGGGAAGAAATCTGAAGCCTCAGTGGCCAGGTTGGGGGTTTCATCAGGGGTGGTGGGCAGGATTTCTTCCTAGACCCTGTAATGGTGAGCTCTGTCCTCTGCTCCTTATAATAAGGCCTCTAAGCTCTTGAGCCCTTTATATTTTTAAAGGAGATATTTTCCCTCTTTGGGAGGGAGAGAGCCTTTGGCAGGCAGCTGCTGTCAGACCCCAGCAGGCCCCTTGCTCAAAAGGAGATAAAAGGCCTGGCCAGCCTCAAGGCTTTATAGGGGAGACCTTGCCCATGACTCTGCTGGCAGCCTCACTCTTGGGTTGGTGCGGGCCAGGGGGACAGCCCACTAAGTGTGGGAGCAGGTCCGGGTTGCCGGAGCTCAGATAAGCTGGATGGATCTCCAACCCTTGGAACATGAAGTTCTGGGCTTAGCAAGGGCCTGGGAGGAGTTGCTGGCCCTGAAGTCGTGACAGGCCCCAGGCCCTGGCCGGCCCCCCTGGTCCCCACTGGGGGCGTCCAGCCTGTCTGTCAGGCCGGGATCCTGCCCGCCTCTGATCAAAGGAAAGCAGCTGGTCCCGGGCAGGGCTGCTCGTGTTTATTACTGCTCTCAGAGCTCTCCTCCTCCCGTGGGGAACTTACAGCCCCTCCCTGCTTCCTGAGGAGCCCCCCTCTCTTCCTGAGGACTTGAGAGGGTCGTTTTTATAAGTTTGCAAGAAGCTAACTGATGGGTCACAGAGTGACACCTAGGTCCCTGTGGTGCAAATGCTTCTGTGGACCTGACATCTCAATTGAAGAACATGTACTGAGCGCCTGTTGTGTGCCAAGCCCTGGGCCATGTAGTCTGGGGTTCAGTCTCTCTCTAGCCTGGGAGGCTTTCCCTGCATCACACAGACACAGAGGCTGAATCCGGACGTGGCCCAGGGGTGTCTAGGACTGGAGCTGCGGTCCCTTCCACCTCACCTGGTGCCTGCTACCTGCTGCCTGACTTCAGGCAAGTACTGTGCCTCAGATTCGTTATCTGTAAAATGGGCGTCAAAGTCCTGCCTGTCTCGGGGTTGCTGAGAACAGGCACAGAATATAGTTTGAGCCCGGTGCATTCCGTGCCTGTATGAAGCACACCCATTCACAGCACACTTCCGTGTGTATGGAACACTTCACGGGCACAGTCAGTGAACTCTCCCAGCACACGATGTAACTGTCCACATGCCTACACCGGAGAGGAGCTCCCGGGGTTCAAGGGTGTGCGTCCTCTCCCCACGGCCGGGTGTTCAGCCAATCCCCACTCGGCTGCATCTTCCAAACAAGCTTTTATGGGCAGTTTGTCAGCCCAGCTCAAGAGGCGGATGAGGTCACAGCGGCGAGCCCCTAGCCGCCCTGTCCCACTGGGCTGGTTCCCCTGCGTGTCCGCCCACCGCTGGCCAGGTCTCCCAGCCCCCTGAGCTGGCACACCTCCCGGGTTGGGGGCATCACCCCAGCCTGCAAGGAAGTGCTCCTTTTCCCAGTGTGGCAGGGCCACTCCCAGCCACGTCTCCAAGCAAGCCCAGTGCCCCCTCCTCCTGCCATCTGACCGCCTGGGCTGCGGACGTCTTGGTTGGAGTTTCTGGGGCCAGATGTTATAGGACAAGCTAAAAATAATGGGGCGGGCTGGCCACCATCGGGGGTGGGGTGCGGTGGGGGCATGTGCTGGGCGCAGACGCATGACCTGAGGGATCGGCTGAGTGGAGCCGAGGCCGCCTGGCAGACGGTCTCGCTCCACTTACAGGACCCACCCGGTAAGAGGGCCCCTCCTCTCTGAACATCTGGGAGGAAATGCCTGTTACCAGCTGCAGGATGGGCAGAGACGGAAGGAAGGTCCTCTGGGCTCTGTACTTCCTGCTGCTTCTCCCCGAAGCCGGTTCTGCCAAGAACATCTGGAAACGGGCACTACACGCAAAGTTGGCCGAGAAGTCCCACGTAAGTGCCTGGGCTGGGAGGCTGGGAGGAGACGGGCGGCCCCCAGGCACTGTGTATGCTGTGTGCATCCCCCGCCCCCCCAGACGTCTTCCTTTCTGGGTGTCCCAAAGCTGGGTGGTGGGCAGAGGGGACTCACTGCCCTCAGAAGGCTCCTTGCCTGTTGGTGAAAAAGCACACGGCGTGCAAATGTGTGCAGGGGGGTAGCGAGATGCTTTTGCCTACGAGAGTATACTTTCTCCTGACAAACAGCACCCGATTTAAGAGTCCAAGGACTTAAAGCTGAGTTTTACGTCTCAACAATCAATAGCCAAGTGTTTATGAAGTGTAATTATTCATGTGGTTATTTGCTTATTCAGTAAACATTTAGAGGAAAGCTCTCTGGGCTACGTGCGGTGTGGGGTCCAGTGGGTACAAGATGGGGACACCAGCTCCTGCTCTCTAGGGTGACAGAGATTAAGTCAGGCAGGCTGCTGGGTGACATGTGATGACAGCACGAAGGGTACAACTTAGTGAGTGGCCAGAGGCATGCGGCCCGGAGCCAGGTGTCCAGGTTTGAATCCAGGCTCTGCTGCTCACCAGGTGTGCAACTTCAGGCAAGTTGTTTGACATCTCTGAGCACCAGCGATCTCATCTGCAAAAGACAGCGTGATGTGTTCTTTTTAACAAGCGTGCTTGATCGACCCTGCTTGCCAGGCACTGCCCCAAGCTGTGGGGAGGCAGACATCAGCTCCCTTCCTCAGGGGGCGCACACTGCAGCTGCGGAGGCGGGGAGTGAGAATAAAAGGAAACGGAGTGTGTTTGGTGACAAGTACCAAGGAGAGAAAGAAAACAGGACGGGAGCCAGGAGAGGGTGGTGTGGTGAGGGTGGGGTTTTAGGTCCTCCTCACACGTGGGGCACCGAGGGCTCCGGGAGGGAACACGGGCTCTCGGGATTAAATGACTCAGGATGCACAAAGCCCCTACACGCCAAGCAAGGGCTCAGTGCAACTTGCTGGCTTTTAATTAAATAACTGAAATTAGTAGGTGCTCGCCACGCCAGGTGGGGTAGAGGTTCCTCAGCGCACAGACGATGCTGCTCAGTCGCCGCTGTGCTCCTGCTGCCCTGCCTCGTACCTGCCACTAAGTTGGTGCCCAAGACATTCTTTTGAAAAAAAATTGAAGTATCATTGATACATAATCCTATATAGGTTTCAAATGTACAACATTGGTTCAACATTACCCATATTATTAAATCCTCACCCCGTCTAGAGCAGTTACTCTCTGTCAACATAGGAAGATGTCTCAGAATCACTGACTATATTCTCCGTGCTGTACTACCATCCCTGTGACCAACTTATATTGTGATTGCTAAGTATTGTGCCCTTTATCCCCCTTCCCTCCCCCCACCGGCTCCAACCCCTCCCCCTTGGCAACCACGAGTCACTTCGCAGTGTCTGTGAGTCTGCTGCTGTTTGGTTCATTCTGCTTTCCTTTGTTTCAGTCCACAAATAAGTGAGATCATATGGTATTTGTCTTTCTCTGCCTGACTTATTTCACTGAGCATAATACCCTCTAGATCTACTCATATTGCAAATGGCAGAATTCCTTTTCTTTTTATGGCTTAATAATATTCCATTGTGTGCATGTACCACACCAGTACATTCTTAATGGCGAATTACAGGAAAATACAATGAAAGCACAGAAGAACATGTGCAGCTTTGTCCCAGGAGAGTCAGGGAGAATTTTCCAGGGTTGGGGGGCATTCAACCTGGGGCTTTGAAGGATGAATAGGAGTTTTCCCAATAGAGAAATGGGAGAGGGAAATGTTTAATGACCCCAGGCACAGTGTGGGTGCATGAAACTGTACTGAGGCTAATCTCAGCCTCCTGGACTCATGTTCCACAGATGAGGTGGAGGCTACTGGGAGTGGAAAAGTAGTGGTGAGTGGTAGGTGTTTGGAGGAGGGGGAGCTCACATGAGATAGTGCAGTCACAGAAGGCTTCCTGGAGCAGTGAGACCTGACTAGGTCTTGAATTGCTAAGAATTAGAAGGAAGGAAGACATTGTGGGAAAAAGACTCAATGTGGTCGGAGGTGCAGAGTTAGAAACAGTGCACCTGGGAGCTCCCGATGGGGCAGTGCAGGGAGAGAGGGAGATCCTACCCGCATTCCACTGCTCCCTGTTCTTTGCTGGTCCAGCAGGACAACTCCGTGCCCCAGGGGACGTAGCACTTTGGTTCTAGGACCACAGAGGGTTTCCCAGTATGTCAGCTGTCATAGGAGCAGACTCCGTGACATCTCACTGGGAGGAATGGGGAGGCTGGAGAGTTGGGGACAATGTTCAAGGGTGGGGGTTAGGGCTGGGTGAGAGGGAGTCTCTTTTAAAACACAGATCTGGGTGGGCTTCAGAAACCAAACTGCCTCTAGCCACCATGTGTCAGGACATGAGTGCTTCGTGTTTGCCCCTGGCTGGGCTGCGACCCTCCCTGGCCATCAGCAGCCTCTGCTTCCCTCCCAGCGCCTGGCTGCAGAGGAGGTTTGGGCCGAGAACCCACTCAGAGCAGGCCCCAGGGGAAAGCCAGGCTGTGGCCCTGCGGCTCAGAGAATAGGGAGGCTGGGCAGGGCTCCAGGCCCAGGAATTCGTCACAGCAGCATCTCTAATGAGCTGCGTAGCCCCTGGGTCACTCGCTGCCCCTCCCTGGGCCTCGGGTCATTACCTAGGAAATGAAGGCAGAGGACCAGATGGCCTCCAGAGCCCTTGTGCTTATGATTTTAACTTCCATGCACACGTCAGTGGGGGAAAGGGGAGATTTAGAACTAACAGGAAGCAGCCCCCACACTCAGAGACTTTCCCGTGTCCCCAAGCTGAGTCAGACCTTGGGCCTTGGCCCTGACTCTCGGGGGGCTGCGGGGCAGGTCGGGGTGAGGAGAGGCCCGGTGCCCGGCAGTGCCCTGGAGCCAGCAGGTACTCACTCCCAAGAGGTAAACAGAGCCCTTGCTAAACATTCAATCATGTAAACTTACAAGTACATAATTTATAGTAAAGAGGAAGGAAGGGAGCGCTCCTTGGAGAGATGGACCACTTCCTGACGGCTCGCTGCCCCTTGCTCTTCTCCCTGTGCAGCATCTGGGTGGCAGGAGCGGCACACGCTGAGTGGGGGTGGCTCCCCTCCTCCCAGCTCCTCATCGGCATCCTGGGGCTGGTACCTTGAACTCCCCTGTGCATGGTGGGAACTGGCCGAGGCGGCTCCGGGAGAGCCCCCCTGCACCAGGTCCCCCTCACACCCTCTCAGAGCCCTACCCTCGGCCCGGTGGGTGGAGGGGGCCCAGGGGATTGCCTGAGCGCCGTGGTCGGCTTATCACCAGGGCTCAGACCCAGTGCCCCAGGGGAAGACACGGCCTCCTGTTCCCACGGAGGCCCATAGGAGCTCGTCATGAGCAGGCTTCTCCTCCCCGAGCCTCAGTTTCCCCATCTACAGGATGGGAAACAGCAGTACTCTCTTTGCAGTCGGTGTGAAGACCGCAGAGAGCTTTCAGCTCTGGGCCTGGCACAGAGCCACCTTCTCTACGTGGGCACTGTTCAAGACAAAAAAAACAAAAACACAAACCCAGAACCAAATATTTACAAGGCTGGATAACACAGAGGCGGAGCCCTTGTGGATCGCCCAGTGGCCATTTGGGTCGCTCTGCCAGTTCTGCGGAGCTGGGGTTTTTGGTTTTTCTTTCCTGGCATGAGATGAAGCACAAGAAAAACAATTCTTCACTGAGTATTTACTGTGTGAGAAGGACAGCGGCCCTGGCTTCCTCCTCCTTGGCTGGGCACCTCCCAAGAGCATTCTGTAGATTCCCAGAGGTTCTCTTGGGTTTGAGCAGGTCCCCTGCGTATTCACGCTCCTTGGAGGACCCCCACCCCTTCCCCGCCTTACTCCCCCCACCCCTGCTAGAGCTTCCTGGACCCCTTCTGAGAATACTCCCTGCCTTAAAATCCTAGTGTCAGGTCCGTGTTGTGTGTTTAATTTTGTCGCCCCCAAAAATGTTATGTTCAAATCCTAACCCCTGGTACCTGTAAATGTGATCTTATTTAGAAATAGGGTCACTGTAGATGTAACTAATTGAAATGAGGAGATACTGGAGTAAGGTGGGCCCTACATCCACTATGGCTGGTGAACTTATAAGAAGAGAAGAGACACAGAACCAGAGATGTAGAGGGAGACCAAGGGCAGAGAGCCGGGAGGGGGTGTCTGCAGCCAAGGATCAGCCGGGTTTGCTGGCCGCCCCCAGAAGCCGGGAGGGAGGCAGCAGACGGATTCCCCCTCAGCTTCCAGGAGGAACCAGCCCCGCTGACAGCTTGATTTCTGACTCTGGCCTCCAAAGCTGTGAGCCAACCTGTTCCTGTTGTCTGAAGGCCCCTAGTTTGTGGTGTTTTGTTACAGCAGCTGTAAGACCCTCATCCAGTCCGCTGCTGGGAGCACAGTCAGCCTCTGCTACTTGGAACCAGCGAGCCTGAGGGTGGACAGCTCCCAGGCGAGGCCCTTCTGGCCAGGACGGGGGAAGCTGTCACCACACTGGAGTCCTGGGGACCCTGCTTGCTCCTTGTAAGATGCGAGATTCCACCCTGCAGGACCCCATCAGCAGGGCCACTGAGACACCTCCATCTAGAGGTACAGGGGCTGCTCAGGGGGCCCTGGACTGTTCATGGCCAAGGCCGCAGGTCCTGCCTGGGGGCTAGAGAGAGGGGAAGTGGCTGGTCCAAGTGGAGTGACCCGACTGCAGGCTTGGCCAGAAGCTAGGGCCTTGCACAGAGCCTGGCACCTCACAGGCACTCAGAGACATCTTAAGAATGGGGGTTAAGCCGGCTGGCTGACAGGTAGGTGGAAGGAAGGAAAAGCAGATGAATAGTGTGGCTTTGGGGATGACCTTGAGCGAATCACTTCCTGTTCTCTGGGCCTGGCTTCCCCCACCACCCCAGGGTTCCAGTCCTGAAATTAATTCCAGGTGTAAATGAATAAGGAGGGGCAGAGGA